GCTACACTCAAAAGTAAAAACTGAATATAATGAAGAAAATTAATAAATCCTTTTAAGTGAAATACCAAATCAACTACACTCAAAAGTAAAAACTAAATCAAATTATGCAAATAAATTAATCCTTCTAACTGAAACACAAAATCAACTGCATCCAAAAGTAACTTCCTGTTTTACTAGGGCAAACGTAGGTTCTCAACCATGTCTTTCTGTCTGCATAAATATGAATATTATATTTAAATATTACCAGTTTTTTTTACTGATGATACACAGTAAAATATTCCAGGCAATAAACTGTGCAATCTACTGTTTGTTCACATGATACATCTCAATAGGAATCACAGTTCTGCAGCTCCAGCACCAAAAAATATTAGCAATATCCCATGTAAAAACAAGTAATACTTCATTTTACTCAAATGAAAGCAAAGTCACACAAAAATTATAATGGAAGAGGAAGCAGGAGTGTCAAACCAACAAATGATAAAACAGTTGCAGTGTATTTTACTGTAAAGACTTCCATTATGTCTCTCTTCTAAAAAATTTAATGTCTGTGAATAAATTAAGTGTTCTGGATCAATATTAATTTTTTATAATAAATGTCTTGTTCAATTAGCTGGTGATTTAACACTGTCAGTTTCAGACGTAGCAGTTATCCAGTTTGAATCCCATTATCATCATTATAATGTAGAAAGTCCTTTGCAGAATATGACTGTCCTCCCAGCCTGCTGAGCAGACTCTTGGCTCTCCATAAGTCCCCCTACCTAAGACATTTTCTTGTCTCAAGTGTCGCTACTGTCTGGTGTCCACTGTCGCATTAGTCTGTTCCATTCCTTCTATTACTTTCGTTCTGAACCAGTCTGAGTGTCCAGCGTCACATCAGTCTGTTCCAAGCCCTCTATTACTTTCGTTCTGAACGAATCTGAGTGTCCAGTGTCACATCAGTCTGTTCCATGCCCTCTATTACTTTCGTTCTGAACCAATCTGAGTGTCCAGTGTCACATCAGTCTGTTCCATGCCTTCTATTACTTTCTTTCTGAACCAGTCTGAGTGTCGACTGTCACATCAGTCTGTTCCAACCCGTCTTTTACTTTCTTTCTGAACCAGTCTGATGTTTGCTATAGCTACATTAATCTAGTTTTCAAGACCTGAGACTGTTTATTGGCTAGCTGCTAAATTCTTCTTTGCTGAAATGTAGTAAAATATTGATATTTCACAGCAATCCAAGTACAAAGGTGGGAATAATGACATCCCAGTGGTTTCGCTGGATCGTTATGTTTGACAACTTTTCAGATAAAGTAACACACAAATCACAAAATCAAACAGCAGCTAGAAATCATAATGTGCAGATCATTAAGCAACCTTCCCCAGCAAATTTATGAGCAAAGTAAAGGACCATTTTTGCGTTAGTGACACCTCAGACGTTTGATGCTAGGCTAGTAATTTTATGGATCAATCAGCACTTTATGGGTGATGTGGTTAAAAATCACACAATCGCCTTCACTTTCCAGGTCATTTCCTGGACCTATTTTAGGCTGGGTTGGCCTGGGAGCCAAGATCAATTATGAAAACAACCCATGTGGGTTCCAGGGCATCATTGTGGGGAAAACAAGAACAGACCCACTGCCTCCCCAAAAGCATGTCGTAAGAGGTGACTAATTGGGAAGCTTCCTTTGAAGTCAGAGTGCATCTGCCGGAGAGGCAAGGAACCAACAGTCAGTATTCAAGAGAATGAGATCTGAAAAACTGATACACACGCAACACTCAGGTTCTGGAGCAGGACTGCAGTTCAGTAATGGACGAGCAACCAGAACTTTCCACCGGAGTGTACAGCTGGTGAATGCAAAGAAGAAAGAAGAAGAAGAATTATGAAAACATCCAGCTCAATGTGGATTTGTATCCTGGACCAGTGAGCTGGCTGATGAGCAGCTAGCCATTATGCTACCATGGATCGCTAGCAAAATTATTAGAGTGAGGGAAACATATCCACGGCTGTACCTTCTTCTTCACGTTCACCAGCTGTAAACTCCAGAAAAAGTTCTGCTTGTCTGTCCACCTCTTGCTTGCACATTCGTTTTACAGAAGTGACTTATTTGTATCCAGACTGGTGTTTCCTTGTCTCTCAGGCATAGGCACTCCGTCTTCAAAGGAAGCTCCTAGTTAACTGACTCTTACAACATACTTTTTGGGGAGGCAGTGCTTTTTGTATTTGTTTTTACTTTCCCCTCCACTGGGCCGTGGAATCCACACGGGGATGGCTGCAGTGATGCTGTATCCTTAGATACAGTCTAGAAAAGTCACAAAGCTAGGAACACCGACGTTCGAGTTTTTGGTATAAAATTAAATGTGAGACACTTCCATTAAAAGAGGGGGAAAAAATTAATCAACAGATTCAGTTTACATTTAAAGCACAAATTTTCATAAGAACACTGTCACAGTCACTCTATGAAGGATAGAGATATATAATTACTAAACATAAGTAACATTTATAAGCAGTTTAAATACAATGCAAATATTATTACCTTTGATCGATTATGTAGAGGTTAAAAACAAACATTAATAACTGCAAATCTAATATATCAATAAAACCTTTCTTTAATCTTTTACATAGACTGTGGCCATAAGAATAAATGAAACACTTCACTAATATACACAGACAACATCATCCTGAGAGCTTCAGTTCATGAATTTAAAACTGTCGTACAAATATTTACATACTTTACATAAATATTCTGATTGTTACACAGATCACTTGATTTATAAGATGTATATTCAGTTAAACAGAACATTTTTACAATGACTAAACCAATGAAAATTAACACTGATTTCAAATGTACATTATTTAGATATGTACAATACTATGCTTGAAAGGTGTATACAATTTTCAGTAAATATGCTTGTGGTTTCCTGTTCATAAAAAAAAAATTCATACATGTATGCAAACAAACCAACACACATACATGTAGATGTATGACTAAATTAACATTTTACATCAATCTAAAATACACATTATTTACAACTAAGTTTAAATAGTGTTAATATGAAGTAAATATGTGTCTGCTTTTATTATGTTGCCAACAAACCACAGAAGTATACATACGTACATGCAGTGTATGTCCTAATGTCTGCTTCTTCAATTACCACTAATTACATCTGTCATTACAAAATTACAATGCAATCTTACTGATAGTCTGCTGTGTCATTAGTCTGCTGCTTCTTCTACCACCAATTACATCTGTCATTACAATGTAATCTTACTGACAGTCTGCTGTGTCATCAAATCTGCTGCTTCTTCTACCACCAATTACATCTGTCATTACAATGTAATCTTACTGCCAGTCTGCTGTGTCATCAAATCTGCTGCTTCTATTACCACTAATTACATCTGTCATTACAATGTAATCTTACTGCCAGTCTGCTATGTCATCAAATCTGCTGCTTCTATTACCATTAATTACATCTGTCATTATAATGTAATCTTACTGCCAGTCTGATGTGTCATCAAATCTGCTGCTTCTTCTACCACCAATTACATCTGTCATTACAATGTAATCTTACTGCCAGTCTGCTGTGTCATCAAATCTGCTGCTTCTATTACCACCAATTACATCTGTCATTACAATGTAATCTTACTGCCAGTCTGCTATGTCATCAAATCTGCTGCTTCTATTACCATTAATTACATCTGTCATTACAATGTAATCTTACTGCCAGTCTGATGTGTCATCAAATCTGCTGCTTCTTCTACCACCAATTACATCTGTCATTACAATGTAATCTTACTGCCAGTCTGCTGTGTCATCAAATCTGCTGCTTCTATTACCACCAATTACATCTGTCATTACAATGTAATCTTACTGCCAGTCTGCTGTGTCATCAAATCTGCTGCTTCTATTACCACCAATTACATCTGTCATTTCAAAATTACAATGTAATCTTACTGAGATTTTACTGTGTCATCAAATCTGCTGCTTAAATTACCCCTTATTATATATGCAGTACAAAAATCAATCTCACATAAATAAACAAGGGGGTGCCTACTTGGCTATGTTCTTAGTACGCTTGTCTCCATAGTGAGGTGCACACACCAGGTAAAGGTGACAGGTTCGATTCCCGGCATGGTAACTATAGCTTTCGAATTTTATATTGTCTAGTGTGCCCTTCTATCTTTCTACTTCTTTCTATGAGTGCCAATCAATACACTGTCTCTCTATTAATTTTATATTTACAAAATTTAATCTCACAGAGTCTGCTGTGTTAAAATCACTGCCTCATCCTGGGAAAAATTAGAGGGTAAATCGGGTTCAAAGTTAATTCAGTTTCATTTTTAGGCACCTAGACCATACTATATCTCGAGCAAAACAAGAACTGATTAGTCAAAATTGTAACATTCTATTTTTAGTCAAAAAAACAGTCCATAATAGCCAAAAATGGGCCAGTTCAGTATATGTAAATTACACTCTAAAATAACCATACATATTTGAGCATAACTGTACTTGACAAACTGCTGAAATCTCTATTATTACATACTTCTTCATGTGCATTCCCCCTTAAAAGGGCACAGTGTGGTGCAGTTTACAACTAGGCTTCCACTTCTGTGCCTTTTAACCCCAAAACATCTTATTTCAGTAAACGCCTAATTAGTTGGATTTTACAACATGCTTCTTAGTGGGTCTGTTTATTTTTCCCTCCTGCAATATGAGGCCCAGGAACCCAAAACTGTGACAATAAAATAAACTTGTATTATCTTATATTTATGAACATAAGAAACACAATGTAATACTGCTCCTGGGAATATTTTGTACAAATAAACCTTATACCATTCCTACAACTATGTATTCACTAATCCTTGTCAATAAATTATACATAATCCAAACATTTTTGTTAACAATATGCCTTTTTTTTTAAATTTAACATTTAAAATATTTTAAATCGTTTATGCACAATGATTTCTCTCTCACTAATACACAATACAGTAACAACAGTTACAACTTAAACAACCAACATTAATGTCTTTTATCTGTTGGTTCAGATTTGCCTCTAGACCTGCGTCTAGAACCTGGTACCCAGTCAGTGTCTGCATTGTCATTATTGTCACCTGCATCATCATCAGTGCTTTCTGACTGTTCAATATCACTTGTGTGAACTTTGGGCGAACGCCGCTGTGACTGACGTCGTGGCCTTTTCTCCAGTTCTAACTGTTCCTCTTCTGCCTTGCTGGAGGGTTTTGCAACGGGAAGTTGATCTCTAGCTATGTTGACGTTCAAAGGTTGAAAACTCATCATATTTGCAACAGGATTTATCATCGAATGGTTTTCTTTATTACCTGTTTGTGCAAGTGACTGGGCTGTTATTTCCCCATCTTCACCATCTACGTCATCATCGGTGTCTGGATTTTGTATAACGAATGGTTTTGGCAGTGCCACAGCAGGCTGTTCAGGTACAGCTTTCTCTAATTCTATCCCTTCGCTTTGCTGTGGTTGACTTGGAGCAGCTGCCTTGTCTTCTTCTTCTTCTTCTCCTTGAGTGATTTTCCTGGGTATTGACTTCCTGCCCTTTCTGCCTGATTTCCCATCATTACTATCAGCTCCTGACCCAGGGCTGAGACTATCCAACTCCCCTTCAGTATTGTGCTCATCTCTTGCCCTCTCAGACAGGGAGCTCAAGAAGTTGACTGCATCCTCCTCCATCACATCAGTGGTTTCATTCAAGCCATGTTTCACCTTCTTGTGCCGGTTGAGGTTTCCTGTAACATCAGTTTAAAACAAACAATTCAGCTTTGTTTAATACAAGTACCTTTCAGACTGTGGTTTGAGAATCACCCCGTGGAAAAGACTGGGGCCCCACAAAATAATATTCTTATAGAAGTGGATTCATTGTGGCCAACCTCCATTTGCAGACAACATTTGTATTTTGTTTTAAATTTAATAAAAGTACCAGAAACAATACACAAGCTAATGCGGTAAACATACTGCACATTTTAAAGTACAACATGGATCGTTTTTAAGCTATTCAGATATCAGGCATATAGTGCTAGACCCATATTTTTATAAACAAATCCGCACTCGATCAGTGAGTTGGTAACATTATGCCCACTATCTTTACCTTTTTACTTTGCAAGAAAACCCCAGATCCCTAGGTCACTTATTAGAAAAACTTTTTTCTTCATCCTTTAATAAATTAAATGAAAGCATTTTGGAAGAAATATGTTTTTTATTTTTTTTTATTTAAAAGAGTTTTCAAAATGTAAATCTAATTTACTTTTTGGGTGATGAAAGAGAAGTGAATTATTCTTACAATGTCTTCTTTACTGATACGGTAAAAGTTTTAATAATATCTTCTTACCCAAGCCATATCATTAGATTACAAGAGTGCCATGGATTATACAGATATCTGCAGACAAGGTCCTGCACTACACTTATATCTATAAATGAATGTAAATATGATTAAGCTTTGTAGCTTTGTACTTTTTAAAATATTTTAAGTATAGCATAAAAATACACGAGATAGGAAAACTGGCAAAAGATTGAGTCTTCCTGGCAGGTTACAACTGGCAAAAGATTAGGTTTTCCTGGCAGGTTACAACTGGCAAAAGATCGAGTCTTCTTGGCAGGTTACAAGTGGCAAAAGATTGGGTCTTCCTGGCAGGTTACAACTGGCAAAAGATCGGGTCTTCCTGGCAGGTTACAACTGGCAAAAGATCGAGTCTTCCTGGCAGGTTACAACTGGCAAAAGATTGGGTCTTCCTGTCAGGTTACAACTGGCAAAAGATCGAGTCTTCTTGGCAGGTTACAAGTGGCAAAAGATTGGGTCTTCCTGGCAGGTTACAACTGGCAAAAGATCGGGTCTTCCTGGCAGGTTACAACTGGCAAAAGATCGAGTCTTCCTGGCAGGTTACAACTGGCAAAAGATTGGGTCTTCCTGGCAGGTTACAACTGGCAAATGGCTTGCGACATAATGATGAGGAGCCACTTACAGGAATGTCCTGAGTGCTAGGATGTTAGTCTAAACTCAGTTCAACTCAACTCAATGAGCAGCTGTGGTAGCATTAGGCAAGAGAGCTTGCCTGCCAAGACAGCAGTCTGGATTTAACTCCCGGCAGAGGCAGGATAGTTCCTTCCTACCAGCAAAGCTCCAGGGTTGACCCTGTTGGCATCTTTCCATCTGGGTGGGTAGGTGTGCGTGTACATGCATGCATTATATGTGGTATGTGCACATGCACATGTGTGTGTGTGTGTGTGTAATGCATAGAAGTTTTCTATATCAGTTGAATCTGTAGTTTTTGATTCTTCATTCAGAATCTGCAGAAAGTGTACAGATCTCTTAAGTCATAATTGGTATGTTACATTATCATAGTCATTACACACTGATATTCTTTATGCTTGCTTAGGCCTCTGATGCAGCTGCTACTTCAAGTCGACTGATTATCCCTACGAGAAACTGGTTATAAAATCTCCTTACTTTGGCTCAAAGATGACCTTGATGTGCTTCACCAGGGATCTTTGTAGGCTTGATAATGACTTGTGTTTCACAGCTGAAGTTGTCTTCAGCATAAAATAGTTCTTCTCACACCAAACAACCTAACTGCCTCTTACAATACACCTGGTAAGTTCAAATGTTACGATTCTTTGCAGTTTGGATATTTTCTCTGGGGACCGCAGGTGCGCTGGGAAATGAACAGGCAGAGAAGCCAGTGCTGCACCAAAGGATGGTGAAATGATGATTGACAAACTAGATGTGGTCAAGATCTTTCACCCCCACCTCCCAACACTTAGATGAGGTAATTGGAGACAGAGATGATGAAAACCTTTACATACAGTAGAATAAGAATATTATAAGACATGTGCAATTTAACAAATATAAACAAAAGACTAAGGGTATTGAAAAACATGTGCAATAAATAAAATATAAACAAATTATACATAAGAATGTTTGCTTACCTTTCAGAGTGAAAGTGCTGCCACAAAAGCAAACATATGGCTTGGTGTTTGTATGCATGTGCATATGTCCTTGGAGGTTATGGTAGCGTCCAAATTCTTTTCCTATATGAAATTAATATTACACTTGTTGCAATCATAATTTTTCAGTAACATTATTGTAATAAATAGAACAACAATTAAAGAGAATTCTGGTGTTGTTTTTTTTTTGTAAAGACAACTGCAGTACAGTCATAATATAACTAGAAGTAAGCTTGAGAAATTACTAATATCTTCTTAGCTGGGGTGAGTTGAGACAAGAATTGACATTATAGAACTCGGGGCATTCCCATACGTGCTCCGCCCCCATCATCAGCAGCCAGCACAGAGTTCCAGTACTAATGGTGCCAGTCGTAGTCTGGTTGTATGTCCATCTTGCCCTTCCTCTGAGCCTAGTGTGCTGGTCCAACCCTCTAGTCCCGCCTAGGTGAATAATTTTTTCCAGCCCATAATTATCTAGTTTCTCTTTTGACTTTGTTACTTGTTCCCAAAGGGCTCTGACCACATCTGCCTTCTCATGTATCAATTCACCAGCCAGCAGTGCAGATCCAGCCAGTCTGTCTTCCTGTTCATTCCCCACCACGCTGGCATGGCCTGGAGAAAAGATCCAAAGTTTTTCTTCTTAGCATTCACCGGCTATAAATGCAGGTTTAAAGATCTGGCCGTTAATCTTTTTCTGGACATTGGTCTTGTTCCAAAATGTGAGTTTTGCATGCACATCAATTTTACAGATGTGGCTTATTAGTATGCAGACTGTTGGTTCCTCGCCTCTTAGGCTGATAAACTTCGACTTCGAATGAAACTCCTATAATTAGTCTCCTAGTATGACATGCTTGTTAGGGAGGCAGTGGGTCATTCCGAATTGGGCCCCTCGAATCTATATTGGGAAAACAACTAACATAAAGATTCAAGACTATCCATATCAAACATATGTTATGTTGTTATTGTTTCCCAGAGATGGAAAAACGGCACAGACACTTACACCTACCACAGATTGAACATTCAAATGGCTTGCGATCAGCATGGACAACCTGGTGAGCCTTCAATGTCTGTGGCTGAGTGAACAGCTTCTCACAAGTGTTGCATTTAAAAGTGCGGGTTGTCTCATGAATCAACTTGTGACGCTGAAGGTTAGCTTTCTGATTAAATGATCGTCCACAAGCATCACATGTGAATGGTTTCAGCCCTGTATGGGTGAACTGGTGAGCCTTTAAGTGATGCTCCTGTAGATAAATAATCAGAATAGTTTAATTCATGTTCTGGATATATTTAGTTATGAGTTAAGGTGATAAACTTCTGTTGCCTGTCCTAAATAAAGGAAATTGGACGGTCTGTCAGAATCACTGATGTGTAGCTCTGGGAGAGAACCATACAAACTCCAGTGAACTGGGAGGTGAGGAAAAGAGGTTCATATTGTGTGAGGGACATGCTGAGAGAGACTGACAGCAATATAACTAATGCTCTTGTAATGGAACCTCTGGGGTTAAGGGAATAAAGGCAAACCAAACAACACATGGAAAAAAGAGCTGGAGAGTGAAATATAGGAGATGGGAAGGACAAGGGCTAAGCCACATGATTTGGCAAAAAATAGGTTTTGGTATGAGCTGGTTGAGGGAAAGCTCCTTAGAAGATAACAGGAGCAGAAGAAAAACAAACTTTACTGTCTAAAATCTTCTCGGTGACATTTCCTAGCTTAAATATCTACACAGATAAAAATGACAAGAATAATTATAGCATACGTAATTCTAGCACACATAAGGCAAAACAGAGCGACCTCAAAAGACATAGAGATGAGAACACTAATTCTTAACTCTTTCAGTCCCAAGGAATGCATCATACGTTCAAAAGTTCTACCTAGAAGTCCAATGAGCATAAGATGTGCAGACTTTACATCTCTCTTTTTTCTAATCCCAGGGTTCATAGCCAAATTTACCAATCAATTTCAAGGCTTTTCAAGGTCTTTTTCAAGGTCTTCTTAGTTTTTTTCAAGGTTGTCTCGGTGTAATACTAATACAAGATTTTTGCCTTGTTCAAGGGTGTACTGAGCACACAAGGTACTTCATTTGTGCCACATGTGTTGGTATACCAGCACAGATATCATCATCATGCAGCATTTCCTTTGTCCTGACAAAAAAAAAACTCGGTCTCTCACCAGCTCTCCCGCCTCATGTACTTTTTTATACTCAAGGAGTCACTTATATCCTGTGTCCATCTTCGTGTTGGTCGGCCCCTGAGCTTGATATAGTGTTTGAAATTTTTTTTTAGGGCTTGGTGGTAGAGGGCAGCAAACTGAAGTCCTGTCTGTTCTGGACCTGGTACCTGAGAGGGTTAGGGGAGAGAGAGAGAGTCATGAAGAGAGAGGAAGACACATGCTGAGGTAGGCTGGGAGAGACAGTGTAAAGATGGACAGATGAAGGTAGAGAAAAGAAGGAAAAGAAGTCTGGGGAAGGATGAAAAAATGAGAGGGAGGGATGGAAACATGATGAGGAAAAGTGGGGAAGGGACAGCGAAAGACAGAGAGGGAGACAAATACAGAAAGAGGGAATGCAGATACAGAGATGGGCAGATGATGATAAGAGAAGGAAAAAGGGAACGAAACAGAGATATGGAAGGAGGAAAATATGACAAAGAGTTGAAAGAAGGGAGACAGAGGGAGAGAGAACGGACAGGGTGAGAAGCAGATGCAAGCAGAGAGAGATGTAGACATAAAGGAGAGAGAGACAAAGGGACAGCACAGAGAGGCAAGCAGACAGAGGGAGAGAACCAAAGAAAGAGAAAAAAAGGCAGAGCAGGAGAATGGGAGGGAGGTATACAAAGAGAAAGTGATGAAGGGAGGCAAACAGACATAAAGCAAGAGAGAGAGAAGGTGGGTAAGGAAGGGTAAGGAAGGCAGTGACAAACACAGATTAAGAGAGGGGGAAGGAAGGGAGACAAGATACCTCAAAGAAAAAAAAACAGCCCCCCCCACCCCCCCCCCCCCCCCCCCCCCCCCCCCCCCCCCCCCCCCACACACAATTTCAAGTGTAGTGGACACAACCACTAGGAAAAGATAGTTATGGGGCAAAAAAATATGTAGATGAACCAGGTAAAAAAAAAATGGGGGGGGGGGGGGGGGAGAGAATGAGAGAGGGAGAGCGGGTAAGGAAATCTAGAGAAAATGAAAAGACAGGATGGAGAGGAGACAAAGAAGAGATGGGACAGGAGAAAGGGCAAGGAAAGGAAGAGAGGAAGAATGGAGAGAGAAAGGAGAATAGTAGAAGATCAAAGGAAAGAGAAGGGGTGAGAGAAGAAAGGTAAGACACGGTTGTGGGGGTGGGGGGTGTAAGAACAATGAGTGCCCAAAATAGAATTAGGAAATCTCTAAGTGAGGCCACTTTTCCGGTTCCTACCCTCTCCCAATGTGAATGTGGCCGTGGTCCAAAAACAACAGTGCTAACCCCTACTGCCCCTTGCTTGTCCTATCTGTGTGTGACAACAATAATTCAATTTCTTACACTTAAGGCTGGTGAGATTTAAACTGTTCATTCTGCCGGACTCGCTAGAAACAAAGGCACACACACACGCGCGCGAGACGGAATCTGCTACTTCCAGCCCCATGCCACACCGCTGCTGTCTGCATGTTTTCATGATCAGCAACAAAGCCCGCCCTCCCCTGGCCTTTAACAAGCCATTTCGGCTGAAAATAGCCAATAATCAGCTGCCCTCACACCTGAAACGACCATACAACGAAAGTAGCCAAAAACTAGCCAAATGGCCAAAAAAGCCAAATGGCTCCCTCAAAATTGCCTGTGCTGAAAAACACAGGATTTCTGACGATTTCATTGCCGCGGTCAAAATTCACGGGTTTTTAAGGTCGGAATGTCTTTTATAAGCTAAAAATCCCGGTTCAAGGTCAACGAAAAAAATCCCGGTAATTTCCCGATTTCCCGGTCCACTACGAACCCTGTAATCCCCTGGGACTGAAAGAGTTAACAAGTATGTCATAAAAGGTAACTAATTAAGATTTGCTGAAATCAGGTGTGTTGGGTCAAGAGATGCAGTTATTGCAGCCTGGATATTAGGGACAACACAATGCGGGAAATGCAGAAGAAGAATGAATAAACTATGAGGTCTTTTACCTTCATAAAATCCATGCCACATTCAGTGCACATGTAAGGTCGATGCCCGCTGTGTGACTGCATGTGGTCCTTCAACTGGCTTGGGTAACGGAATCTGCGATCACAGAATCGACACAGTAGTTTACCATCAGCTCCAATTTTATCTCCGTCTTTAACATCAATGCTTTCAAAATTTTCAGCTGATTCAAAAATCTGATTCTGGTTTGAAAAGCGCTTTCTCTGCATGTGTATAGGCTGAAATGGAAAATTAAATGTGTATCTTTTAGAAGTAATAGGTTTTTTTCTTCTGAATCTGATTGCTTGTAACTAAAAACTTTATTTTAGTATTGCATCTGACAAATTGTGAACAAAGCTTACAAAGGAAAAATTCTCAGATGTTCTAGTCAAACATTAGCACACATACAAGGAGTTCTATGAGTAGAAACAATTACTATTATCTTTTTCTTTTCTTCCTTTGCGATCCCACTTAAAAGGGTAGTTGACACACTGTGTTGTGGCTTTCAGCTAGGCTGCGATATCTGCACCTTTTGGTCCACCACATCTGCTTTCAGCAAACCCCTACTCAGTTGTCTTTTATGATATGCTCACTTGGGGGAGAGGGGCAGTGGGTCTATTCTTTTGTCCCCCAAAATGGGACTCCGGAACCCAAATGGGGACAATCCTATTATGAAAGGCAGATGGTAAATTACACTAGCTATTTATTACCATTTCATAACTGTCACTACATGTACAGTGAAAGAGAGGCCAGTCATGGACATCTTTGTCAAATACTGTGAGTAATGACATGAAAATATCCAAATTAAATAAAATTACTACACTTATTATTAAATTACAACATTTATTATTAAATTACAACAGTTGCTAATTAAGTTGCTTATTAAAATTGAGCAGTACTTCACCACCAGCAGTAGTTACTGAGTAGTTACCTTAACAACAGTTACTATAGACTGTTGTACAACTCTTGTATTTCAAGCTGTTCATTCTTATATGCTATGAAATCTTTAGGGGATGGTGATCGTGTTGTTTCCCCCTCTGAAGACAAGCAGCAGACTTAATTAAATCACCCTCACGTTGTCTCCAAGCATGAGTGCAGGGTTTGGGTGCTAAAGGTCTTCCATGCTTAGTCTTATGAGTTAGATTATCTTCACAGCACTCTGGACACATCCATAGGCGCTCAGATTCCCCCTCTCGACATATTCATCAGTGTCGTGCGGTTAATAGTACAAGTCCTATGTTGATTAACAAGACTGTATGTGCGTCCGGAGTGCTTCTCATGCTTGGCTGTGCCGATCTTTACTCCCAATTCGTGTATTCTTAGCACTGATGTGGACATGTTGCTTTCCTAGTCTTAAATAATGCAAGGTGCATAGCTTCATCATAGAAGAGACTGAGCCCTGAGAACGTTGGCAGAAATGATCTCATGTTTTAACCACTTCTCTAGTAGGACATTTGAAAGAAACCACATGCAGCCCTTCAAAACAATGACTGCCTACAATAGCCATTAATTTATAGCCATTGCTTACGACATTTTTGGCAGGTTGTGCTTTTACTATTATTTTCCTACACAGTCCCTGCAATACATGTGCTGACTGTAGGTCAAAGAAGCTTAAAGACTTTTTTTGTGATGGGGTATGTGTATAGCCTACCAAGGATCTCTAGAAAATACTGTATTTGAAATACTCAGAATTTCTTTTCTAAGTCCAGATGTTAATCTCCACATTTCACAGCCATACGTAAATGTACTAATATCTAGTGCTCTATGCTCTCAACACTTTTAAAGATCAATAAGATGACTGATAAATCAGCAATAGATCTGGATTTGAAGCAATGTTTCTATATAATCTAATGAAGGCTGTGACTTAAATACTGATAAAGTGTTAGAAGATGCATGTGTAAAATCAATGCCTAATAGAGTGTTCAAGAAAGAGTAACACTTGAATTCTAATTTAAAAATGTATAAAGGCAGCATCTATGTCAGAAATACAAGTGAGAATTACCTTTCTAGAGTGCATTATAACCAGATGGCATTATAACTTCTTCTTTGCATTCACTGGCTGTAAATTCCAGTGGAAAGTTCTGGTTGTTCATCCATTTCTGTACTTCAGTCTTGTTCTACACCTAGAGTTTTGTGTTGCATATCCATTTAATAGACCTGGCTTAGTTATGTGCAGATTCTTGCTGGTTTTTCGCCTCCCATGCAGATGCATTCTGACTTTAAAGGAAACACCCTAATCAGTCACCCCTCACGACATGTTTGTTTGTGGGGGTGTGGAGGTGGGGGGAGTGGGGGGGGGAGCCCTAGAACCAGACAAAGAAAATAATATTACTTACAAAGATGGATGACACGTTTAGCTGCATTTATTTTTTACAACATTGGCGTGAAAGTCAGTAAAACATTTACCTTAAAGAAGGCAAGCAGAATGACTGCATTGTTGCCATTAAAATGATGAATCACAACACATAAAGTGATGAAATGTGCCACAAGTTACACCAAGCTGGTGTAAACTAAAGCTAAATGAGACAACAGTGCCATCAAACAGGTGTGCCATTTGTGTGAGAACTCACCAATGGTGTCCCAGTGTGAGAAGAGACAGGAGAATGGCCTGATGGGTGCTTTGACCTCAGGCTGGCACAGAAACCATTTTTTTCACTGACCGCAATGTGCCGCTTCAGGTGGCTAATCTGCGTAAACCCTTTGCCGCACAGGTTACAGGTGTGCGGCTTGATGTGATCATGAGTCAGCATGTGGGTGTTGAGGTGGCTGAGCTGCTTAAAGTACTTGCCACACTTGAGGCACAAGTGGGGCTTAATTCCACTGTGGTCTAGGACATGCATCACCAAGTTGTGCTTGGTTGTGTAAGACTTATCACATTCATTACACTGCCAGCGTTTTACACTACCCACTTGCATATACTGAGTGTCATCAATGCGAACACTCACCTCCATCCGTTCTTGCTCTAAATCCCGAGCTTTGGCCTTTCTTTCTTCCAGCAGATGTTCATAGTTTTCTAGATGCTCATCTCCACATTCTGGATCCCCTTCACTCATCTGTGAGATCTGGTGTTTATAAGGTATCCTTGACATCTGATCATGATTTCCTGTGGCCATTATTCCCTTCTGACTGATGCTGCCTGTTGGCTCTGGCCCAATCAAATTGGGTGGCCTACTCACAATCCCCACAGTAACAATTGTGGCCTTATTAGCAACACAGGTAGTCATTGTTGCCTTTCCCGCAGCCTCCATGAAACTTGGTGATATGACTGTTTTCATCTTGGAGTTGACATTATAGTTACTGTATTCTCCACCCTGTGATGGCAATGGATCATATGGAAAAGTGATTCGCTGTGAGCCTTGAGGCATCACCAGATTTCCAGACATGTGTAAATCATGATGCCTTCTTACTCTACCAACTTCATCTATAAATTCATTCTCTGACTCGGATCTGTACAATTCTGCTTTTGGTATCTTAATTTTCAACTCACCTAAGGGCTCATCCTTTGTCTGTGTACCTCTATTAAATACTGATGGTCTTTCTGTTTTGCCAATTATAAAAAACTTAAATGGCCCTATGTGGCGTCTGACCGTGTGTTGATTATGGGAGAGATATTTGTGCTTGAACTTTGGAAGCATCATGGATTCGCCAGAATTTTGAGAATGGCCACCATGAATAAATCCTCCATGACGGTCCAGATGCATTGCTCCTGCCAGGTACTGCTGCTGGTTTACAGCATCCTCTTTGTATGACCTCGGCGAGTGTGAAGACAAATGCTGGCTACTGCCATTGTGTAAAGTGTGCTGCATGATGGCTGAAGGTTGGATGCTGTTGTAGTTGCTGCTGCTGCTGCTGATTCCTGGTGAGGTAGGTCCAAGGGAGGGTGATTTACTGTAATTCTTTCCAGCAATCTGATCTGTATATGAGGATGAATCAAAATTCTGAACACGACTGCCTGATGGTAGGAATGCATGTTGCTGCCCTGAAATACTTGAGTATAATGTCTGGCTGTTTTTACCTATATCACTACCGCTGCCTCCACTATTTGAGACAATAGTACTGAAGCTAGGCAAACGGTCTGATATCATTCCTGATGCAGATGACGGCAGTGGCATTGGAAGGTGTGAAGTCTGATCTGAGCTGTAATCAGAAAATCTACTTCGGAATGAGCTTGATGGCAGGCCGGACACTGAGGGCATACTGGTCTGTTGTGAATAGTTGAGATGAAATGGAGACATGCCATAAGTACCACCCCTCTGATTCTGTGGAAAAACAGGACCTCCTCCAGCAAACGTCATCCCCACTTGCATATCACTTGGAACAGATCCTGGGAAATCAACTGGACCATAATCATCTCCAGTAAACTGAAATCCAGATGGAGGTAGACTGTCCATTGTAGATTTTCTGAAGTTAAAAAACATACAAATGTAACATTATAAGAAAGTACAGTTTCTAAGGGTAGTCACCGTGGGGTTGGCAGCTAGATGCCCGCCTGCAGATTGGAAGGTCGTGGGTACCCGTCCTGACGAAGCCTGACTTTTTTTTTTTTTTAAATGACTTTGACTCACAGGTCAACCCAGCCATAAGGGGGACCTGGTACAGTCCTGGGAAGTAAAGCGGCCAGCATGATGATGACCACATCACACACCAAGTGCCAATTAGTCAACTATTGGTCTAGCCCTATATACCCAATACGCCTAAAGGGCTGGAAAAGGGACCTTTACTTTAGTTTTAAAGTTTCTAAGGACATCCTCTATAGTGAATTAAAGATGGACAGAAGATACTGAGATCAACCTCTACCATGATCTCCAACAAAGCTTGGCATATGATACCATGACATCTATTTTGAGAAGGAAGGCACAGGCAGTCACTAGTGCTTTCTGCTGGCTTTAGAACTAGTTGCATATATGTGTTGTGATAGAAACATGCCAACAAAGCATGTTGATAAAGATGGAGAAAGGCATGCTTCATGCACAAGCATCTTTCCAGAGGTCCCGGGTAATTAGTGTTCTTTGATCTTTTCTCTGGGGTGTGCAGGTGTGTTGGCAAGTGAACAGATGGACAGACTGGCTGTTTCTGCACCAGCTGGTGATGAACTGATGAATGACAAGCTAGAAATGGTCAAAACCCACTGGGTGCAGGTTAACAGTGTGGAAGAGAAAAAGGATCATTGGTCTGGAGAAGAAATAGTCTGGAGGAGGATCAATCATCTGGAGGAGGATCATTTATCTGGAGGAGGATCATTCATCTGTAGAGACTGGTGCTGCAGGGAGTGACCAGGGACCTGGCCAACTTTCTACATTCAGGGAAAGGCAAGATGGACTTATAATTCCCTGCTATTTGTACCATCTGTATTGAAGCTGCACTAGCTGCTGAAAGTGGGGAAGGAGGACTACTGGGAATGTCCGGAGTGCTGTGATATCAGTTCTTAGCTGTTTTGCACAGATAAGCCGAAAAACCGACACTTCTGGTTGTGGCCAATACCATGTAAATGTCACTTTTTTATCTTGCCCATAGTGACCTGTTTACAATTTGTATAATTAATGCTACTGGAATGTTTAGAAGGTCAGGATATGAATACATTAACTAACAATAGCATTCGGAGAGAAGGGGGTAAGGGGTGCTGGTCCTTAGAGCTAATTGGCTTCTTTTTTTTTTAAACCAAGTTGACGTCAGATATTCTGATAAGCCTCGCTGGTAGTGGTCATGGGGTCACCTGATACATGTGTGTTTTTCAGGTCCTAGGGTATGTATTCCAGTTACTGATTCACTCTATTTATGTTTATTTATTACACCTTTCATACATCTTCATATTTTGAAAAACAATTTTAAAATGTAAATAAATACATTTTTAATAAATTTATTTGCGACGTGTAAAAACTGTTTTTGATTTTTATGAACTTTTTTGTTTTTGAGCGTGGAAGAATTCAACAGGGTCTTGACCTATCTTATTTTCTAGAGTTTACAGGGCAAAAGGGTTAACTCAACAGCTCTACTGTGAAAAAAGTCATGAGCAAGTCGGACATGAATGACAAGCATAATGAGATGGATTCATGGGTATAGGATGCAATAGATAGTATTGCACACGAAGGAAAAATCCTGAAGCAAATGGGAAGAAAGGAGAAAATGACTGTAGGTAGGTTAAAGGTTGCATTTTTAAGTAAAAACACATCACATGCATTGATGTCCGTGTGAGTTCCCGGTCCCCACTGGGGGGGGGGAAAACAAGAATAGGCTCACTGCTACTCCAACAAGCATGTCATAAGAGACGGCTAACTGGGGGCTTCCTTCAGAGTCTGAGTGCATCTGCCTGAGAGGCAAGGAACTAACAGTCTGTATACAAATAAGCAAGATCTATAAAATGAATGCACATGCAAAACTCAGGTCCCGGAACAAAGCCATAGTCCAGACATGGACAAACAACCAGATCTTTTCACCTAGGGTTACAGAGGGTGAACGCAAACAACAACAACATACATGTGATGACACCAAGGTCCTGAAATCCTATGTGTTTATACTGGAGCACATTTTTAAAGGTTAGCTGGTTATATCTGCCATAACCTTGACATGTGATCCCCCCATCTTCATACATGAATCTATCCAGAAGAAGTAAACTTTACAGAAATGCATGCAATGTCAAAAACACTGACCAGTGGGTTGAAGTGGGTGCATAACTCTCTCAAAAAAGATTTCTACTCTCATAAGCAGAGTCGTATTTAGGGTTACATACAGTTACATACTGTGCAGTCAGTTTTTTCCGCATACTTTTCCCTCGACTAAACTTCAGCATCGCTACATGTTTACAAACTACCAACAATAAGCTATGAAATTATTTAAAGTAAAGGAAAGTTAAGGACCCTTTTCCATGCCTTTAGGCATACTGGACATACAGAGACCTATATTTTGTATACCAAATGGCACTTGGTGGGTGATGTGGTCAGCATCACGCAGAGGCCTTTACTTCCCAGGACTGCAGCCGGTACCCACTTAAGGCTGGGTCAACCTGGGATCCAGGATCATTTTTGAAAAAGTCCGCTTCATCGAGACCCGAACCCAGGACTTCCGATTCGCAGGCGGCTTTGTTAAATTATTTACTTCAGTTTTAAACCATACTGAAATATTTACACTGTACTAAATATACAGCAGATAAAACAAATGTGCAAGTTGAGGTCCTAATCATGCGCAATACAAGATGAAAGGCCTTGAGTGGGTAGGAAGTGAAGTCCTGGGAGATATAAGGTAAAGACGGCTGGCGTGATGCTGCCCAATTCACCCACCAAGTGCCGACTGGTCTATAAAATATAGGTCTAACATAATATACCTAATATGCCGGAAGGGTGGAAACGGGTCTTTTACTTACTTACAAGATAAAAATATTATAATGATGAAAACAATATAGATATGGTTTTTCAAAAACTACTAGCTACATTTTCCGGCTCTTAGAATGTTGCTGCCCTGTGTACTGCACATAGCCTAATTACGATCTTAGACATACTGCAATAGGTCATATATTGAATTACTGGTACTTTTGGGGAGTCTATATTAATAGGATCTTTGGCTATCCTCCTAATAACCGGCACATATTATGGCGGCCGCAAAAAAAAAAACTAATGTCCCCCAGATCTGGGGTGGGTTTTTTTTGACGTTGAGGGGAAATCTGGGTTTTTTTGTGTGGGTTTTTGCCGATCTGTATGCTTTAATGACCGATAAATTCACGTGGTTAGGGGTAGGGTTAGCGGTAGGATTAGGGTTAGGGGTAACGTTAGGGTTACGGTTAGGGTTAGGGTTGGGGTTAGGTTTAGCGTTAGATGTGACAATTTTGACGCAGGAGTTCGCTATAATCACGCACAGTTACATACACACCCAAACAGTCGACGGACTATGGGTGCTACGGACAATTCGCCACCGATTGGGCACGAGCCGCGCACTATTGCCGTAATATTTGGCAGAGTTTCAGTGGCGCCACTCCCACAAACATCAGATTGTCAGCCAGTATTTTAAAACTCCTACGTCAAAATTTTCACATCTAACCCTAACCCTACATCTAACCCTAACCCTACCCCCAACCTCTATCCCTAACCCTAACACAAACCCTACACGCAATTGTATGATGACTACGCAACGCAACCCTTCGCGCAACCATATGATGACTACGCAACCGTACACGCAACCGTATGATGACTACGCAACCCTAAACCCAACCGTACGCAACCTTACACGCAACCGTATGATGATAGGTAAGTATGTCATTTGTTTCGTGACTTTTCCGCTCACTGTTTCGAGTGCGGCCAAGGGAGAGAACTCTTACTAAACTGAACTAAGTCGTCCAGCCCTCGTCTGGTATTGCAAGAAGAGCCAATATAGTTAATCCCTAGTACATCTAAATTTCCACTACACAAAACCTATCTGTACTTATTGTAGCTCATATTCTAAATTCCTATAGTTTCACTTGATTGTTAATATAGCAATGAATGGCAAAAATACATTTTTGCTCCGCTGAAATTTTCCGTGCTGCTTTTTGTTCCGTTTAGCTTCAGATGTGAGCAGACGCCAGACGTTCATTTTTTAATATGAAATACATTAACATTATCAGAAACTGTCATAATTATGTCCTTTGTTAAAGATTACGGACTCCATAACTTCACAAATGATAGCACATGACAAAAACTGTTTTGTTTTATTTTTGTCAAACTATATTACAAAGTAGGATGAACAGTTGTAGTTACTGTTTTTGTTTTTCTTCCCCGTTTTCCCTTCTTCTCTCTGTCCCTGGGCACAACCGAAAATTGAGGTAGTGGTAGTTTTGTTTTACAAAATAAATTCATTTATCGCTTAAATAATGCCTAAACAGGCGACCAGATTAATTATTAACTAGCTTATTCAACGAAGAAGAATTTAATCCTAAAATACTGTAGCTCAACTTTGCATTTAAAGAGTTTATTTCAATTCGAAGGACAGAAGGCCTAGCTTGATGGAGGAAAATGGCGTCAACGAAGAACGACTGAGGAAATTTTAGCCTCACTATTTCGTAAACAATATGCAATAGCAGTATATCTGACTTTCATTTTAATTACACCAGACCAACTTCTAGCTTGCTGCTCATCTATTTATTACATGTAAAATATGCAATACTACTTACAGTATTTACATAGACAGAAAATACTTCTGGCAGTACGTTTCACAATACATCTGGATGGAGTGAAGGAAGTAGATTTTTCTTCCAGCTCGCGTAGAAATAATATTATGCAAACATAAAATTTTTCTGCTTTTAAAAGATCTGTTAATATATTCAGTATAACCATAATTCAAACTATGATAGGAGAAGGCTGCAGTTATCTAAAATTCAGTTACATCTTTGTATAGTTTTGACTGTACCCTGTTACTACATTCTGTA